AAGGGTAGAGAAGGAGGGCCCCCAGCGGCACAGGGGAACAGAAGCAGCAGCAGCAGCAGCAACTGCTGCTGCTGCTGCTGCTGCTGCAGAAGCAGCTGCTGCAGCAACTGCTGCAGCAACTGCTGCTGCTGCAGCTTCACGCAGAGTACCTGCGGTGTCTGTACACCTCAAGCAAACCCCCAAACCCTTCTCCCTTACTGATATAGGGGGGGCCCCCCAGGGGCCCCCTCTTGCTGCTGCAGGCAACAGCAGCAGCAGCAGCAGCAGCAGCAGCAGCAGCAGCTTTGATGCGTCTATCTCTGTAACGCCTGCTGCAGCAGCCGTCTCTCCTGCAGCAGCAGCAGCAGCAGCAGCAGCAGCAGCACAAGCTGCTGCTGCTGCTCCTCTGCGCGACGGCTACAGCACTCCCCCCCCAACCTGTCGCTCCCTACAGCAGCAGCAGCAGCAGCAGCAGCAGCAGCAGCAGCAGCAGCAGCAGCAGCTAGAAGATAGTCTAATGTTTTACAGCAAAGACCCATATGTTTTAGTACCCCCTTCTGGGGGCCCCCCTCCCCTTAACAACCCTTGGGGGCCCCTGGGGGGCCCCCCGCTGCTGAAGGGTTCAGCTGGGGGGCCCCCTGATCTCTCTCTTGGGGGGCCCCCGGGGGGCCCCCCTGGCAGCTGCAGGTGCCTGGGGGGCCCCCCCAATCCCCGCTGGATGGAGGGTACTGGGGGCCCCCCTGAGAACCCTTTGCTGCTGCTGCAGCAGCAGTCTTGCTGCTCTTCTAGCCCTAAAGCTGCTGCTGCTGCGGTGTGGGGGCCCCCCCATGCTACAGACAGAAGAACAGCAGCAGCAGCAGCAGCAGCAGCAGCAGCAGCAGCAGCAAGGAGACAAACATCCTTCTCTCTCTGTCTAGCTAACAGCCCGCTAGCGGGGGGCCCCCAGGTACAGGGGCCCCCCATCAGCTGTAGGAGAGTAAGCGACTGCAGCAGCACTGCAGTGCTGCAGCAGCAGCTGCAGCAGCAGCTGCAGCAGCAGCAGCAGCTGCAGCAGCAGCAGCAGATGTGTGTGTACCCTCGTCAGGTCCTACCTAGTGGCTGTTGGGGGGCCCCCCTTGGGGGCCCCCCTGCTGCTGCAGATTCAGTACCTTTACACCCCAGCTGCTGCACGGATGCTGCTGCTGCTGCTGCTGCTGCTGCTGTTTCTTATGAGCAGCAGCAGCAGCAGCAGCAGCAGCAATCGAATGCTTTGCTGCCGCTGCTTAGCTGCTGCCCCTCTTGCAGCTGCAAGTCCAGCAGGAGCAGCAGCAGCTGCTGCAGCAACAGCTGCTGCAGCAACAGCTGCTGCAGCAGCAGCTGCTGCAGCAGCACATTAGATGCCCTTCATTTTCAGCAACAGCAGCAGCAACAGCAGCAGCAGCAGCAGCAGCAGCAGCAGCAGCAGCAAATGCTGCCCTCCTGCTATAAAGGCCGCCACGCCTTTGCTGCTCAGTCTGTCTAACTTATAATAAAAATAAAAAACAAATAAAATAAAAAATAAAAATAAAATAAAATAAAATAAAATAAAATAAAATAAAATAAAATAAAATAAAATAAAATAAAATAAAATAACATCAAAAACAAAATATATTTTATTGTATTAATATTTATTATTATTTGGTGTTGCTATTTATTTTATTATTTATTTTATTATTTATTTTATTTTATTTATATTTTTATTTATATTATTTTTTATTTATATTTTTATTTATTTTATTATTTATTTTCTTTTTTATATTATTTATTATTTATTTTATTTTTTATTTTATTTATATTTTTATTTATATTATTTATTATTTATATTTTTATTTATTTTGTTATTTATTTTCTTTTTTATATTTTTTATTTTTTATATTTTTATTTATTTTATTGTTTTATTATTTATATTATTTTTTTTTTATATTTTTATTGATTTTGTTATTTATTTTCTTTTTTATATTATTTATTATTTTTATAATTATTTTTATTTTTAATATTTATA